GGGCGCCGGGCCTGCCGCCGGCCCCGCTGGCACCGCTGGCCCCGCTCGGCCGGTGGTCGGCCCCAGGGGATAGAGAACTCCGAGGGGCAGCGGCGGCTCAGAACTGCAGAGGGAGGAACGCGGCCTCCGCACCGCCGGCCCTGCTCGTGGACGCCCGTTGTCACTTTGCTGGACAAGAGTACCACCTGGTGCCGCGTCCCCAGCTCGTGGCCGCGAGGGGAGCGATCGAGGCGCGATCCGGCCCCCGCACTCTCGCCGTTTCCGCCGCTGCCTCGCCCAGGACGCCTCTGAAGCCCTGGGTCCCGTGGAGCAGGCCGCTTCCGCCGACGCCCCTCCCAGCCTGCGGTGGACGGCCAGAGCCAGCCGAGCCCGAGGGATGCCCTGGGCATCGGGCCTGTCGGAAGGCCAGGACCCCGCCTTGGGGTGCCGGCAAGCGTTGAGGCCTGCTGCAGGGGGCTTGGGCCAGCCTCAGCATTTGGGCCCACCCAGCTGCTGACCTCGGCAGGATGGGGGTCATCAGGTGCCTTCTTGCTGTCCCAGCTGTAGGTACCAGAGCAGTGTGTGCAAAGCACCTTTGTGTCTGCTGTGACCATGCAGTGTCTTCAGTACTCTGTACTTTTCTGGGTGGTGGTCATTACCAGTGGGCTGGCTCTATCTTCCCATCTGCTCAGAGCTGTCTTGTGCCCTGCTTAGTAATCAACAGCATCCCCTTTCATTCTTAAAAGTGTCCAATTGGACAAAATGGTGTGTGATGACCTGCTGTGGTTCTGTTGGTTAAGGAGCTGTGGAGAACTTGTTTGAGGCAGGGGCTTCATGTGTTACTCCCGATGAGGATGCTGAGGCCAAGAGGGACTTTCCTGGGGGTGGCAGAGGAGGGATGGACAACCTCTGGCCAGGGTATTTCTGGCCCTGTGGGCTGCACAATCAAGACTGCAAGCAGTTGAGTCCTGCACAGCACGTAGACTGGAAGGTCACTTGCACTGAGGGATGGCAAGTGGCAGGCAGTTCTGTGGCAAAGACTGCATTTGGGATTGGGGTGGGGGTGTAGCAGTAAGTGACACCTGAGAGAACATGAAACACCTGGGCCTTGGGCTTGATGGCAGAAGAGGCCATTGGCATCTTTCTGGTGAGTGACGTGGAAGGTGTCCAGAATGTCCCCAGCCTGGGAGGCCGATGCAGCAGGGCTGGACTGAGTGTCCGCAAGGTGGGGATAGTGAATGGAGGAAGTCTGTTGGTGGAGGGACTCTGGAGTCCTCAGGTCTGAGACACTGCTTGATGAGCTTCCTCTTGTTGCATGGTCTGTAGAGAAAAAAAAGAAAAGGAAACTGCCAAACTTTGACATGTTAGCGATTGTTAGATACAGCCCAATTTCAGAGTCGTGAGGGAAAGGTATCTTAGAATTGCCATGCATGTTTCATGCCTGAATCCCAGCTCCTCGGGGGGCTGAGGCAGGATTGCAGGTTCAAGGCCAGCCTCAGCAACTCTGCAGGAACCTGTGTTGAAGTTAAAATTCAGCAGGCTGGGGGTGTCGCTAGTGGTGGGACGCTTCACTCGCATGTGGGAGGCCTAGGTTCAACCTTTGGCAGCACATAAAGAACAATTGCATGTAGGCTGAGGTGTTGGGCCCCAGTGTTGAGGAAATGATTATGGAAGAGAAGGCAAAGTCAGGGAGGGATGCAGAGCTTGGGGTGGCATTGCCCACCCTGTGCCTCCTCCTCTCATGGTGGTGGCCCCAGTGGCGTGGAGGCCTGGGAGAGCTGTGCTGAATGGGCTCTGGAGACAGCCTTCTCCCTGGCTGCTCACTGACAGCCTCTCCTTCCACCCGTCCCTGTCCCTTGGTCTGCCTGGACAAGACCACCACTCACTGCTTAGGCTGCAGAGCAACGGGCTGCACCTGATAGCCCTCTGAAGCCTGGAGGGATTTTTGTGTGTGTGCTTTCTGGCACTTCTGCTGCCTGAGCCTTTTTCCCCTGCCCATTCCCCTGCTGTGGTCCCAGGCTCAGCCCCCTGCCTGTCTGCATTTTCAGGACCCTGCTCATCTGGTGTTATGCTTCCCTCAGGCCTGGCCGGTAAACATGCTCAGGGGTCCTTACTTGGCCAAACACAAACATCATTGCCAGCCAGGCTGGTGCCAGCAGGGGGACCCAGGTTGAGGGCATGGCATTTGTGAAAGCCAGGCAGCCACTGGAGGCTGTGGCCACCGAGCCTGAGGCTGAGGCTTCACTGGGAAGGGAGGCACTAGAGGAGGGTAGGCTTGGAGGTAGGAGTCCCTGGACACAGCAGTCGGCCTGGGACAGCAGGTCTTCTGGGCCCTGGGAGCTGAGGCGGGGTGCTGAGTACCTCCCTCCTCTGAGGCTGTCCACATGGTCCTGCTGCCTCATCAGGCCCACAGGGCTTTCCCTGTTCTCTGGCATTACCAGGCTGTTAGCCCTGGAGGACCATGGGCAGAGAGCCCCTGGAGTGCAAGAAAGCATGAGCACATTGTGGGGGGCACAGGTCCTAGGCCCCCTCAGCTAACTGTACCCTTTTTGTTCTTGTTTTGGTGGTGGGCTATGTTCACTTGTGCTGCGTTCAGTCGATGAATCATTATATGACCGCTTGGCAGCTAGGGTGGGAGAGCCCAGAATGCCAATCTCCTGCCCTTCACGAGGGGCTGCAGCTGTGTGCTCTGGGCTGCGTGGAGCCCCTCGCCTTGGGGATGGACGGGTAGGGTTCTATACTACAGGCCCCCTTCTGGGGCTGCCATGTCCCTAGCACATGGGTTGCAACCTGTGTGGACCATATGTCCACAGCTGGCCACCCCCCAAATAGACTCAAGCTGTGAAAATCCCCTGAGCTGAGACTAAACTGGCAGTAACCTCCTCAGTCCTGGTTCCTGGTCAGGCCTGGCAGCTCCCTACTGCCCACGTCTTGATAGGTCTGTTCCTGCTCACACCCCAGCCCCAGGGGACCAGGCAGCCTTGGGGCCTCTGGTGTGTACGGGCTCCTCATCCCCATTGTGCAGCCAGTAGGGGGCACTCAACCTGGTGCTAAGAGAGGCCCCTGCCCACTGATGGGGCCAAGCACCAGGCCAGCTCACTTGCTGCATCCTGCATGTGTCTGACCTAACCTGATGTCCCAACCTCCTCCAGCTGACCCTGCCCCAGCCTTAGACTGCCCAGGATTGCTTGGATCCCACGGGCCACCTAGGGCTGGGCCTTATTCTGTTGTGTCCCTTGGATGGTGACAGGTCCACACAGTTTGACCACAGCTTAGAAGGAGGCAGTGGATATGCCTGCACCCTGCCCCTCTGCTGGAGGGGTCATGCTCTATCCCACTCCTGTGTTCAGGGGCTTCTGTTTCAGAGGCTGAGGGGATCCTGCAGCAGAGCACCAGGACCAGAGGACCAGCTATGACCAGGTGTGTTCTGGGCAGCATGATGGCCCTCACCCGGGGTGAGAGTGAGCCTGCTCTGCCCTGCACCCAGCCTCATGCTCTGTCCTCCCCTAGTTCCCCCGTCTCCAGAGTCGTCTACAACGGCAAAAGAAATAGCAGCCCGCGCTCGCCCACCAACAGCAGTGAGATCTTCACCCCCGCCCACGAGGAGAATGTGCGCTTTATTTATGAAGGTGGGTATGCCTGCGCAGGGGCTCCTCCTCCTGGGAATGGTCAGCCTTCCTGCTCTGCCCCAATGCCCAGGAGCTCCCTGGGCCCTTTCCTGCCTCCACTGCACCACTCTGGGTGCTAGTGCCCCATCAGTTCTTCCAAATCTGGGGGGAAGGATAGGCAGATTGAGTGACAGGGGACACTTAAAAGCCCTAGAGGAGGGTGGGGGAGTAGGCATTACCCCAGAGGAGATGGCCTCTGCAGCCTGTCCTTGGCAGCCTGTCCTCGGCACTGGGGGTGCTAGGGAGAGGAGGGAGGTGTGGAAGATGGGTGCCCCCAGCAGTTGCTGACCCAGAGTCGGGGTGGGTGGAGGACGTGGAAGGAGGGCTGATCCCAGGCTAAGCACTCCTGGGAAGCCAAGCTGGGTCAGATGGGTCACCTCTGAGAGTCCAGGCCCATGGTGGGGAGGGCTGGGTGCTGGAAGGTACCTTCAGCTGGCAGAGGGAGAGGGGTGTCTCCTGGCTGGCCTCTGCCTGACACTGACCCCACTGCCCTCGCCTGTGGCAGCCTGGCAGGGTGTGGAGCGAGACCTGCGCAGCCAGCTGTCAGGTGGCGAGCGGGGCCTGGTGGAGGAATACGTGGAGAAGGTTCCCAACCCCAGCCTGAAGAGTGAGTGGGGCCATGGGGGGCACAGGACAGCCACCTGCTTCCTGCCCACACTACCAACGTGCTCCAGGGGCTTCCAGAGGTGGGGATGGCCAGGGGCCTGTGCCAGCACTGACCACACCTTTCCCGGCAGCCTTCAAGCCGATTGACCTGAGTGACCTGAAACGCCGGAACACGCAGGATGCCAAGAAGTCCTAGAGTGCCAGCGCCCTCCCCTGGCCGCTGGAAGATCAGGGTGCACTTGATGTTGGCTTCCTCCTGTCCTGCAGGCCCTCCCAGGAGGAGGGAGGGGCCGTGCTCCAGTGGGCTGCAAGCCCTAGGGTCAGCAGAATTGATGGCCGAGGCCACTTCTCTCTGCGCCCCTCCTGTCCTCCCTGGGGATCTCAAGCTGCCCCTGTCACTTGGAGGGGCGTCTGGCCCTGCCTGCCCCCGCCAGAGGCCCTGACCCCAGTCCCTTCTCCTCACCTGCTGCTGCCCCTCCCTTCTGTTCCTGTCCACTGCGGGATCAGGAAGGAGAAAAGGGGGCCTGTTTCCCAGGTTGGTGGGACTGGCTGGTTTTGTCCTTGAAATGACCAGGAAGTGGGACAAGCACAGCTGCACCTGCACTCAACTTGGGTCCCCCACAGACCTCTGCTAGTCCTCTGCCTAGACACTTGGGGAGCCTCCCCCACCCTGCCCCCACTGTCCAGCCTCCCCTTCCCTGCCTCAGCTTCAGGATGGCACCAGGTTTCGGCCTGAGACAGTACTGACCTCCCTAAAGGGGTCCCCAGCAACCAGACCCTGCCTGGTGCCTAAGCCCGGTGGCCACAGAGGCACCCTTGGGCCAGGGGTGCCAAGGCTGAGCTGAAATGGTGCTGTTGGGCCTGTCCTGGCTCTCTGGAGTGTGTGGGAGGGTCACCAGGGCCCCTTTTTTTTTCATGTACCCTCTGGAAGCCAAGTGTCTGTGTGGCCCTGGAGCCGGGGGGTCTGTGAATAAACATGGGTGGCACTGGGAGTGGCCTCTTGGCCATCTGTTAGCCCTCTGCCTTGCAGCCCACACACCTGGACAGGGGACTCCAGCCACGGTAGAGGCTCTGCTTAGCACTTCTCGGTGTGAGTCGGGGAACAGGGCAGGGGTCTGAGGGTGTCCAGGCGGGGAGAGATGAGCTGCTCTCAACAGTCAGCCCTTGTCCAGACTAGAGGCTCTCCTGAGGCCATTCTCTCTGGGGGTAGGACCCTGGGGCAAGTGGGCAACCATCTGCTGCCCTGGACCCACCTTCCATGGCCTGGACTACTGACAGGGAGTTGGCTTCCCCAGTGTCCACATGGAAGCGTGCTGCTGGCCCCCGAGAGCCCCAGTTGCACTTGGCCCTCAGACGTGGAAACAGCCCTGGAACGCTTCTGCCCCGGAGACGGGGCCAAGCCGGAATTTATTTCAGGAACACCCTTTCCCAGAAGGGTATTCCGAGGCTTGAGTGGCCCCATGGGCTTCTGGGGGTGGGCTGGGCAAGTCTCCGTGGGAGAGGACAGTGCCTATGAGGATGAGCTCCACCTTGGTGCCAGTGGCACTCACTGGAGCCAGGTGCCAAGCCACCCCTGGAACATGTGGCCTTGTTAGGCCCTGGGGATCTGCAAGGCCGTCCATAGAGGCTTTGAGTGTCCCAAGCTGAGGTCACCCAAGCTTGCTACTGGAGAGGATGGCACATGGCTTGCTTGGGTTGCATAGGAGCACATCTCCACACCCTGTACCAACCAGTGTCTCCGAGCACCCTAGACCACCCAGGTCAACGCAGTGGACAGGGCAAGCAAGGCCCCAACAGATGTGCTTTCCACCCCTTGGCTTTGCCAGGGCCAGCAAAGGTGCGAGATCCACCCGCACATGAGGCCTGCTGGGGGCTTCCCACCCCTTCCCAGAGGGGTCCTTGAGCAAGTTGCCAAGTCTCCGGCCTCAGATTCTTTGGTTAGTGCCTACCTCAGTGCCTTGCAACAAGTTCCACTCACTCTTCTTCAGGTGAGAATCTAGTGCCTGTGGCCGTGATTTGCCTCAGTTTCCCCAGGTGCAAAGTGAGTTTGAGCTGTGGTGATCTGAATGGTCGCTGGGCAGTTAGTGCCCAACATGATCTGGAGACAGCTTGAAGGAGAGAGTGCTGACTTGGGCTTCCAGCCTTCTGGGGCCTGCCCTGGGATCTGGCCACACCCAGGGTCCCTTGGGGCATGCATGACCCAGCCATCTGGGCCTGCACATCTGTGTCCCCTTGCATACCTTAAGGTCTTCCCTGGCACTCTGCCAGCTAGAGGTCCTGGGCACAGTCTACAAGAACACCTGGGTGTTGGAAGGAGGGCTTGCCACACACCCTCCTGCGGCAGAGCCCAGTGCACTGTGACAGTCCCAGGTCCAAGCTGTTGTGGCCTAGGCCAGGGGTGAGCAGGGAAGGGGAGAAAGAGCCTGCCTGGAAGGCCTGCCAAGATGTGTCCACTGGGGTCCACCTAGCCCCCCAGCAGGCCCGCCAGCCTTCCACCTAGGGCTGCCAGGGACCACTGCAGGGCCAAGTCCACCTCATGCGGCCAGTGTTCCTGTAGCCACAGTGGGCCGAGAGCACAGGCGTGGTCAAGGGAGCTAGAGCAGCACTGGGGCAGGTTCACCCCTGCTGTCCACCTCACACCTCAGTTCCTTAGGGCCCGTGGGCCTCCTGCCAGACCAGCCCCCTGCCTCATCTCCCTCCTCTGAGGTGCCTAGTGGCTCAGGGGGCCGGCTGGGGGAGATGAGGTGAACACCCTTGTGAGTCAGGGTCCGTCCAGTGTCACCTGTGCAGGTTGCGCAGGAACCCACACAGCACTCTTCGTTGGCGACTACGTGGGGAAGTTTTACCACCCTCATTTACACATCAGGAAACAGTGACCTTCAAGGGAATTTTAGTTGTGGGGCTTTGTTGTTGTTTTTGTTTATTTTAAAGTAGTGGGGCTCCAAAATAAGTGCTTAAAGGGATAAACACCCCTTAAGTGTTTATCCCTTTAAGCACTTATTTTGTTAATTTTTTATTTGGGTGGGGGACCAGGGATTGAACTCGGGGGGTGCTCTATGGCTGAGCTACATTTCCAGCCCTTTTAAATTTATTTTTTCAATTTCGAGACGGGGGCTCACTGAGTTGCCCAGGCTGGCCTCAAAACCTGTGATCCTCCTGCTTCAGGCTCCAGAGTTGCTGGGATCACAGGCATGCACCACTGCACCTGGCTGGGCTTCCTGCTCTCTGCCCCCTTAGTTTACATGAACACAATACCTTTATTTTTAATTTTTAAATATTTTTTAAAGATAGAAGAGAGAGAATTTTTTAATATTTATTTTTCAGTTTTCGGTGGACACAACACCTTTATTTTTTTTTTATTTTTAGGTGTTGCTGAGGATTGAACCCAGTGCCCCACAGGTGCTAGGCAAGTGCTCAACCCCTGAGCCACAGCCCCTGCCTCTTTCTCTTTTAAGTTTACTTATTTATTTTTGTGGTTCTGGCTGTGGCACCAATGCCTCGCCCAAACAAAACTCTATTGCCGAGCTACAGTCCCCCTCCCTAGGACCATGTGGCCACACACGTGAGCTTTTGCTATCCTCCACTTTCCCTGTGTAGCTCTTCCCCGTAACTTCAGTTACATCAGTGCTTGGGTAACTTCAGTTACATCAGTGTTTGTACTCAGCACTGAGCTGTAGGGCAGATGAGGCTGCCCAACTGTTTTCCTGGAGTTCCTAATAAGTTCTGAACTCTGCCCTGTCATTTAATTCTCCCCTGAGAGTGCTCAGTCACTTTCATGTCCCCCTGCCAGGCTGGAGGTGCCCTCCCCAGGTTCCATCCTGACTGCTGAGGTCCACCCTTCTTCAGCAGTGCCCATTCCAGGGGGTCACAGGACACACGACTCGCTCACACACGTCCCTCTGGGAGCGGGCTTCTGCAGCCTGGCCCCACACAGGGGAGCCTGGGAGCTCCCTCTGCGGCACACTCCTTCAGACTCCCTGCAGGAAGGGAGTGGGCAGCAGGGCAGCAGAGGCAGGGGGCACTGAGAGATGAGAGGGGCGGGGCCTCTTCTCTGTGGGCACCTGGCTGTGTTGGAGAGAGGGTCCCTCCACTGCCCATCTACAGGACTGCCCATTAGGACCAGTGTTTATTGGTTGATGAGTCCAGCCCTGGCCAGGCCCCACCTCCACTCTTGACTCCAGCAGCCTGCTCCATCCAGTTCCCTTGGGGATGGGGATGGGGCAGGGTTGAAGGAGGACAAGGGGAGGGACTTGGAGTAGGGAGGGCTGTCAGGAGGCCCCAGGAGAGCAACTTACCCCCAAGGCAGTCCCCAACCCTGAGCTCAGCTGCCGTGAAGGAGAATTTGCCCCTCCTGTGCTAACTCGGTGTGGCTTTGTGCCCATATAGGCAACTAGGGCTCCGTAGAGAGTCAGGACACAGGCCTGGGCACCTGGCATGAGAGCTAGCCAAAGCCTCAGGTCAGGTGCCTAAGCCTCCATCAGATACAGCTACTTCTAAACCAGCCTCTGTCTGTGCCCTCTGACTTCCCTCCAGCCTCAGGCCTGCAGGGTGCGGGGAGAGGGCCTCCCTGGGAGGGCCCCGCCTGGCAGGTCATTCTATTTACCTTTCCTGAGAGGCCTCATGTCCTTTCATCTGCTCCAATTAGCCCAGCTCTGCCTGAGTGGCTCCAGCCGGTGCTCCAGCAGCTGTGGCACTCCTCCCCCAGGGCCCAGTGGCCACCTTCCACCAGCTCCTTGGAACAGGGACACCTGTCTGTCTCCTTCTCCACCCCATGCATGCATACCACCAGGCATCATGGTACCCAGTGTAGGCCACCCCGGAGGCTGACCAGTCCCCTCACAGGCTACCACTCTGGACTTGCTTCTGCCCAACAACATGGTCCTGGATGGCACATTTAAACTCATGGGTGCAAAACTTACCATTCTGCACCGTGCCTCAGCTTGGACTCAGGGTGCACCCCTGATCTGGACCTCCCACCCCAAAGCACTTCCAGGCCTTTACTGCATCCAGTCCTGGGGCAGCTCTTTTCTGGCTGGTGTCACCCCATCTTCACCTGGCAGGGAGTGTGCCACCCACCACAGGATGGGCCTGGACTGTTGTGAGCAGACGTCTGCTAGGTGACAGGGGCTGTGCAGAGGTGAGGCAGACCCTGCTGCTACCTCCACCTGGACCCACAGTGATTGGGAAGCTATTTCTCTTCACTGCAAACACTGTGTGGCCCAGGATGCACCCAGTAGCTAAAGCTCAGGAGCAGAGGCTGGGCTCCAGAAAGAGCAGGACTGAGCCAAGTGTCCATGGTCCTTCTGTCTCCAGGTAGAGGCTTTTGGAAGACACCCTCTGAGTAAATTCGGTGTTCATGTGAGGCTGTGTGCCAGTGGCCTCCCTCAGCCCCCACTGCCCCATCATATCCCTCTGCTGGTGAATGGTGACCTGTTGGGGGAGTGAGGCCAAAGCCTCCAGAGGGGCCCCTGCCCTGATCCAGCATGGGAGGACAGGCACTGCTAGCCACCCTGGGGACCCTTCCAGCTCCCTGTAGAACAGGGATCAGAGGGGCCCCTCCAGGGAATGCACCAGTCTGCGCCCATCCACCCTGCACCCATCCACCCTGCCCACAACCACTCGGGCCTTCCCAGCTGAGCCCTGGAGATCCACCCAGCCACTACTCAGCTCTTTATTGGAGAACACACCTTTCCACATGCACAGGACAGATCAACAGGCAGGCATGCCTGCAGTTCATGCACAACTTCCCACCACTGGGCTTGTGCCCCAGGGACAGCAGGGGGGACATGGACAGTGGCAGCCACTGTCCAGCTGTCCTGCCCCTCTGGCCTCAGCCAGGTGTCCAATCCTGGGGTGTTCGGTGATGCCCTGTCTGGTGCCTGAGTCTAGCAGAGACTCAGAAGGGTCTCTCAGCCAACTCAGGGAGGCCACAGGCCAAGGAGGTCTCTGCAGAGGGGTCCTGGCCAGCCCCATTGCTGCTGCCACCCTTCACAAGTCGAAGCCTCTCGAAGGAGGGGCCACGGCAAGGCCTAGCTGGGGCCGAGGGGCTGCTGCTGCGTCGCGGGTCCTGCAGGGCTCTGCCCTCGTGCCAGCGCCGCCAGCGCTGCAGCAGCTCTGCCTGTACCTGGGGGAGGGGTCCCACCTGGTGTCCCTGAGCCTCGGCCCCACACCCTCCCGCCCTCACCACAGGGAAGGCCAGGGCCTGCAGAGGCTGGAGACCCCCACACTTGTGCTCCCTGAGGACTCTGGGGTCCTGACACCCACTGCCATGGCAACCATCTCAGTTAAACACAGGAGGAAGGGAAGGGCATATGGGGGGAACTGGCACCCGTGCCACTCCCTGGCCCAGCCCCCACCTACCTCTTTGCTGAGGAAGCAGTAGAGGACAGCCACCAGCAGGCCCTGGAAGGAAGGGGCGGTCAGGAACCTGTCCTGGGTCTCTGAGCAGGGGGAGGGTGGGGCCTGGGGCTCACCTGGAAGGAGCTGAGGAAGAGGTCAAAGAAGAGCTTGGCGGAGCGCAGGGCCCCCTGAGCCTGCTCATCGGTCACAAAGGCGAAGACCACTTCGTGGACCCCCAGCAGGGGGATGAGGGTCAGGGTGGATCTGGCCAGCCTGCAGGAGTGGAGCTTGAGTGCCCGGCCTGCTGTCCAGAGCCAGGTCAGCCCACAGGCCCTTGGAGCCCCCTCTCTGGCATCGCAGCTCTGTGCGCCCCGGCCACCGCCCACACCCACCGGAACTTGTAGTCAGCGTAGTGCATCTGGCGGGCCTGAAGCTTGGTGATGAGGAGGTGGACCACGCGGACAAAGATGAAGGAGTTGATCTGGGAGGAGGGCCCAGGTCAGGGCCACCCAGGGTCTGTGATCCCCACTGGGCCCCAGCAGGTGGGCCCACAGCCATGTGGCCCTGGGCTGACTGGAGCCCAGCCAAAGAAGACAGCCTGCTGGCAGCCCGGGCCGGAGTCTTGGAGAGTGCCGGGCCCCCATCCTCGCGGGCCAGATGCTACCTCTCCTAGGGCTGCAGAAGGCCAAGGAAGGGGGAACTGGGGGCCCCAGCCAGCAGCCCCTCCTGCTGGGACAGAGGTGTCCCGTTTCCTCACCAGGATGGCCAGGAAGACCGGGGCTCGCAGGATCCACCAGACGCCCATGTTGGTATTGCTGGTCCAGCACCTGCGGGGCGGCCACTCACGACCTGGGGTGCACACAGCCCCCACCCCAAGTCTCTCAGCCCCCCATCTGATTTTGCTGGGATCTACCTCAGGACAAGGAAGGGGAAAGGCCACAGTGACCCCTTGCCCAGGCACTAGGTTGGCACAGAAGCCCCTCCCACACTCCCTCAGCCGCCCGGCCCCGGCTGCATGGCCGTCCTTCACTGGCCCCTACTCACTGAATGTTCTCAAACAGACACTTGACCACCGCCCAGGGGATGATGAACAGCAGGGGCGCACCTGTAGGGGGCAGTGGTTGTGGGCCTGCAGTGCTGCTGGCCCGCCCAATCCAAGCACCAGTGGACAGCAGCCACTCACTCACCCCAGCCAATGCCCAGGTAGAGGGTGAAGAGGCTTCGCTCAGGGAAGGAGGAGAGGCCCAGCAGGCCATGCAGGTACACGCCCTCCACCAGCAGCCAGCAATAGTTGGCCACCACGCCATACTGCATGATCACTGCGGCCACACGGCAGCCAGCCACCGCCTGGGCAGGGCCAGCGTGGGCAGCTGTCACCACCCTGCCTGCCCAAGGCAGCAGCAGTCTAGGCTGGTCTGCTCTGGGCACTCACCCCATCACTGAGCCAGATGCTGACACTGAGGTCATCCCCGATCTTCTGGCTGTAACGGGTCTTCAGCAGCCAGTCGATGACCAGCACAGAGCTGGCCTTCAGCACAAAGGATGCAAACAGGTTCACGTGGATGTAGTTGCGGGTGCAGTGGAGTTTGCTACAGGGACAGAGGATCAGTGCCCGGCACCTGCCCTGGGGCTGCCCTGCGCAGGACGGGGAGGCAGCATACCTGAGGCCCAGCATGATGGCCAGGGCGAGCAGCAGGGCCCCCAGGGAGAGGGAGTAGCCCACGGTGTACATCACCTGGAAGCTGCTGTACATCTTGGCTACCTCCTTCTGTGAACCACAGTGGCTGCTCAGGGCTGGGGGCCACTCCCTGCCTCTAACTGGTCCCACGGTGCCCACCCACCCTGCTGACCTGGCCCTCGAGCTCCTCGTCCTCCATCTGGCACTGGGAAGCGTTGCGCCATGGCTGTCCCCGGGGCCCACGCACCCACTGCCCATCCGGCCCACACTTCTTGAAGACCAGGCGGTGCTGCACTGGGGGGACAGGCTCTGGTCACTTCAGCTCCAGGCCCAGCCCCCCAGTGCCCCCAGACCTTTCAGGTTACCTTTGTGATACCAAGGCAGGTACCAGGGGCAGGAGATGTTGGCCGTGGTATTGGGAGGGGTGTCTGGCCAGCAGGAGTACTTGTCGAAGGTCCTGTTGCAGACCAGGTCTGCAGAGGCGGGTTGGCAGGGCGGGAGGCTCCTGGAAGGCCTGGCCAGGACCCTTCCACCTCCTCCTGGAAGCACCTGAACTTCCCTATCTCCTCTCCAGGCCTGCAGCCCAGAGCTCCGGCCTCCCCACCTGACCACCCCGACTCCTCCCCAGCTCTCTGCTTCCCACACCCACCTGGTCTCTGGTCCAGCCTGGCCCTCAGGGCACCTTCCCTTAGAGACCTCTGTCCCAAACCCACACTGGGTCTCCTTCCCCCCACCTTCCTCCAGCACCTTCCCCTGGGGGCTGAACCCCAATTCCATCCAGGAGCCAACCCTACGGCTGCCACAGGCTGCTGTCCCTCATCTGACGGTGCAGGACCCCAGGGTGTGCTCTCTGGCCCCGTTTCTCCCTGTACCAGAGTGACCACCAGCCTGTGTCTGCATCTGACCCATCTCCCTCCCACTTGCCTGGTCTGGGGGCTTTGCCAGCCATCTCCCCTGAGCACTGGCTGCCCTCTGTGGGCTCAGGGCCTGTGGCAGCAGCCAGGACAGCGAAGCGCACCAGGCCTGGGGCCACTCTGCCCTCTCTGTTGTCTCCCACTTTGTGGGCCACCTGGGCACCCGGGAAGCCTTCCCGGGAGCAAGTTCCAGGCTGCACAGCCGGCAGGAGCTGGGGGCCTGCGGGGGCTCACCAGTTGGGGGAGGCAGCAGGCTCATGTTGCGGTGGCACTGGTCACTGTAGAGCTTCCACTTCTCGAACAAGAAGTCCATTACCTGGGCAGAGAGGGCCTGCGGCTGGTGGACCAGGGGACAGCAGCCAGAAAGGACAGAGTCAGAGAACCAGCGGAGTCAGCACAGGGCAGACTGGGGCCCGCCGCACTGGGCAGAGGCTGTGCAGCCTCACCTGGCAGGCCAGCAGCAGCAGCAGCAGCAGGTTGGGATGCCAGGGCCGGACAGGGGACATGCCTCTGGGTAGCTGTCCCCCACATCTGGCAGGGGCCTCACAACCGGCTCCTTGGGGGTGTTCACAGGTCCCTTGAGCTGCAGAGGGTCAGAGCCATGGGATCCAGGGAGAGGCCTGACCCGGGGTCCTTCCCCCCAACAACCAGCCTCCGAGTCTGCTGAGGTGGGGGACACAGAGCGGGGAGCCGACGTGGTCTGTGCCAGGGAGGGGCTGGAGGAGCTGGAGGTCACTGTCCACCCCGCTAGGCCGTCTGTCCGTCGACCATTCCAGAGCCCTCCCGCTTGCGGGTGGCAGCCACCTTCCACCCTCTGGTGTGGCCACCCAGAGCTCATGGAGGGGACCGGGCCCTTAGCCATCTACTTCCTCCCTCAGCCTGGTGGCCTCAGCCGGGCCCAGCCCCCACCAGCCCCCACCCCACACCTATTCTTAGCCCCTGGGAGAGCCGGCTCATGAGGCAACCTGCCCGGCTTGGGGTGCCGAGCACGAGGGTGGGGTGCCCAGGCCTTCCACCACTTCTCCCCAGTGCCAGGCCCTGCCTCCCCAGGCCAGGTGGTCTCTGCCACACCCGCGCCCCCTTTCCCAAGACCAGCGTGCCCAGGGGACCCATGGCCCTCATCCAAGGCTCAGGCTGGGCGCCAGGGTCCCCTAGGGCACCGCAGGCTGGCAGATCAGCACTGCGGAGACGGGGCCAGGGGACACCCTGCTTCTCGGGTCCTGGAAGCAGCAGGGCCTCTCTTGCCTCAGCTGAGTCCCACAGGAGAGGCGGGGAGTCCTGGGTCTGCAGGGCTGGGCGGGCCTCACTGCCAGCCTGAGGCCGAGATGGGCCTCTCCTGGGTCCTCCAGAAAGGAGTGAGGAGTGCCCAGCTGGACGGACAGACAGATGGCTGGTTGGAAGTCAGAGTCAGGAAGAACAGGGCAGTAGGGATGGAGAGGGGTGCGGCTGTGGCTAAGGTAGGGGTTCTAGGTGGGCCTGGGCGCCAGGTTGAGGGGGGCAGCCTGGATTTTAACCCTCTGCAGTAAGTCCAGTCCAGCGCTCGGGCCAGCTCGGCCACAGGGCTGCCCTGCCCCTCAGCCGTCCTGCTGCAGCACGGCGGTGGCTCACAGCCTGCTGGGGGCTCCTGACCCCAGCTGGAGCCTTCGATCACACAGGGCCTGGAGGGACACAGGACCCAGGAGCGGCAGGACCCCAGTCCCTGACCCCTGGGGAGCCATCCAGGCTCGGGATTCAGTGAAAGATCCACAGAGTAAAGGGCTCTTTTTTTTTTTTTTTTTAGTTGTCAATGGACCTTTATTTTGTTTATCTATGTTTGGTGCTGAGACTCGAACCCAGTGCCTCACACATGCCAGGCCAGTGCTCTGCCACGGAGCCCCAGCCCCAGCCCCACTTTTGTTCCCCTCCCCGCAGGGCTGGGGGCCAAACTCAGGGCCTCGTGGGCTAGGCAAGCACTCTGCCACTGAGCTAAATCCCCACCCGCCCCTCTTATTTTAAATTAATTTATCTATAGTTGGTTCCAGGGTTTGAGCTTAGGGGCCCTCAACCTCTGAGTCACATCCCCAGCCCTTTTTTTGTATTTTTTTTAGAGAGAGGGTCTTGCAGAGGTGCTTAGAGCCTAAGTTGCTGAGGCTGGCTTTGAACTCATGATCCTCCTGCCTCAGCCTCCCAAGCTGCTGGGATGACAGGTGTGGCCGCAGCGCCCTGCCAGCGAAGGGCTCTTGCTGGGAAGAGGGCAGCTGGCAGGTAGGCGAAGGAGGAGGGGGAGTTTGGGTATCCCCTGCTCTGGGGTCGCCAAGGGGACGTCTCCTCTTCTGGTTCTGATCCAACCACCCCACCTGCTGTGGCTGCCCAGTCTACTGAGCTGGGCTGGGTCAGAGTAGTCCAGCCAAGAGCAGGCCTCCCATCTGAAGACTCCTGACCACGGTGTCTGGGCTCCAACTGAGGCCCTGGAGGAAGAGAGCTGATGGGTGGGCATGTTGGTGGGGCAGAGGGAAAGGACAGGGATGGCCAGGGTGGATGGACAGTGGAGTGACAGGCAGGGGGCATAGGAGGATGGCCCACCCCAGTGAAGAAGGACAGCCAAGGAGGAGACCCAAGACCCCCAGAACCCCAATTCACCCCCGATCCCTGTTGGGAAAATGGGAGTATTTGGCAGCCTACTTGCTGACCTCCGAGGGCCATGAGGACCTTAGAAGCTGACTGTGGGAAAGGGTGTGGCTGGCCCACTCCAGGGCTGCTCAAGCCCAGGGCCAGCCACCAGGAGCCCCAGAGGAAAGTAGTGTTCAGAGGCAGAGTGGAGGGGAGATGGGCTGTGCTGGCCCTCGGAGGCCCCTGCCTCTCTCCACGGCAGCTTGCCCAGGAGGAGCACGCTCCATGCCCCCAGACCACCCCACAGAAGGTCAAGCAGGTGGGGCTGGAGACCCTTGAAGACGTCCCTCTACACAAGCTCAGTGTCCCAGGCCACAGGCCAGGCTCAAGGACTCCCGGCCCCAGGTCCCTGGGCATCAGAGCCTCAGACCCCTCTTCAAAATATCAGAGGCCCAGGCAGTCCTCCTCTGGACCCCTGATAGGAATGTGGGAGAGGACAAAAGCTGTCAGTCCTCCCCTGCGGGGTGGGGAGGACGTGGGGGTGACAGCTCTGGGAAAGGGTGACGGGTGTGGCTGATTTCCAGCCCTGTGAGGCTGAGGTCTCCAGGGAAGAGGACAGGCACGGGGGGCTCGGGCCCAAGGGCAAATCGTTACACTGTCCAAGTTAGGATCCCCGAAGGTGGACAGCCTCCAGAGGGAGAGGGCTGTCCCCTACAGGGAAACTCTGATGGCCCTGAACAGCCTGTCCAGGCCCCCACTGTGGGGTCACACGGATGCCCAGAGACAGCTCTTCAGGCCCCTGAAAAATATCTGTCAAATGAGTGAGTGAGCAGGAACCTGGCAGGACCAGCCAGGGATGTGGAGGTGCCACTCGGGACTCACACTGGCCAGGCCTGGCCCCTTTTCCACCTTATTCCCTCCTTGGCTCGCAGCAGGGTGGAAGGGTGACAGAGGACAGGTCCGAGGGCACCCACCCTTCTTCCTTCAGAGGGTTGGGTACGATGGCTGATGGCTGTCACACCCCAAGCTGCCCACCAGTTTGCCGCCCGGCTGCTGCCAGCAGGCTCCTCCCCTCGTGACCTCCTCCGCAGCAAACACATCTGGCCTCACAAGCCACCTGGGTCTGACCTGGCTGGTCCACTACTGTGGGCTGGCACACCCCCCATGCCAGTTCCAGCCAGACACATGACTCAGGTGTTCCTGGCAAGGCCAATGTCACACCAGTTTCCACTGGGGGGGGGGGCGAGGGACCCCAGATCCAGTGGATGGCCCACTAACCCAGGAAGGCAGGGAGTGCCCTTGGTGTCCCAGGATCCGAAGGGGTAGGGAGGGTGTCTCTCAGGCACCCTCGGAGCCCCAAGGAGGTGGGAGGTGGGAGGTTTCTGTGAAACCCAAGTGGCTGGAAGGTCAGGGCCTGGGGGCGGGATCAGCCCACGCTGTTGACAACAGGCAAGCCTAGGATGCAGGCCAGAGGGTGTTGAGACCAACCCCCCAGCCCCCAGGTCCCCAACACAGAAGGACAGCAAAACAGCCCTGGCTGGTCCTCAGAGGATGCCTGGCGCCAAGAGGACAGGGGTCAGTCCGTTCTGAGTGGGGCATAAATCCCCCTGACCCAGAAGAGGGACGGGGAGTCCAGAGAGGCTGGAGCAGGGCAGTGACCTGCACTGGCTGCGGGTCAAAGTCACAAGTGGAAGGACAGCCCGGCGAGGTTCCAGTGCCCCTCACCCACCCTGGGAAACCCGGGTGTTACTGGGGAGCAGGGACAGGACACAGAGGGAAGCCGGAGCTGCCCAGGACCCTGTGCCTCGCCTCGATTGGGAGGGCGCGCAGTGGGGGGAAGAATGAGGGTCTGGAGGGAGGGGCAAGTCCTAGGGCCCGCAGCCATCCGCACCCAGGTCCCCGAGGCCGCGGTCCCCAGGGACCAGAGTGCAAGAGCAAATATTGAGACCCCTGAACCGACGGTGCTGGACCAGGTGACCGTCCAAGAGCTGAGGGCGCATCCCCAGGGCTGGGAAAGGAGGCGTCCGACGTGGGCAAGGACCCGGGGGACCACTCGCTCCGGGGAGCCCAGCTCTGAGCCTTGGCGGCGTCCGCCCACTCCCGTGCCCCGGCGGGGTCGGCCCGGGCCATGCCCTCGGGCCTCCCAGTGCTCACCGCGCGGTGCCGCTAGGCTCCCTCGGTCCTCCGCGCGCTCGGGTCTGGCGCCCGCAGCCGCCCGTCTCCACTGCGCTGCGCGCTCGGGGTCCGCGCCGGCTCAGCCCCGCGCCTGGCGCCTGCTGCGCTCGAACTTCCAGGCGGTGACACTGGGCGGCGGAGGAGGAGGGGGCGGGGGCGGGAGCGGCCGCCTGATGGGGGCAGCCGAGGGTCCCCGCCCGCGCACGGCGCTGCTGACCCGCGGCCCGGATGCGCGGCGAGCGCAGACTCCAGGCCCCCGGAGCGCGCTCCTAAGACCCTGCTCACAACCCCGAGGACCTCTCCGCAGCTGACCCCCGGCTTGAGACCCACGTCGCTGGACTCTGATAGCCGGCTCTCCGCACAGGCCCTGATCTGGACTGCGACCCCGCGGACCCTGGCCCTGCAAACCTTAGTCCCCCGCATCCAGTCCTGTAGGTCCTCGACCCCGTGGACCCTGCTTGGTGGATCTGTGCCCTGTGGTGCGGACTCTCCCTGCTGATCCCCGCCCCGCTGACATGGCCTGCAGGTCTGAGCTCCCTGCAGGGACACGTGTGCCAGCGAGGAGGGGGGCGCGCCTGCGGGTGCTGTGACTCAGGCCCCTTCCTCTTGCTTCATCTGTGTTCCCTGTGGTCTCCCCGCTGTGTCTGTTGCCTTCCTGACTCTCTGGAGGGAGTGACTCTTTACTTATCCCCACGGGGCCCCTGGGCCACATTAGCTGTCTCCAATCCTTCTTTGCAGGTGGGGGGCTACTAGGGCGCTGGAATGTGAGCTACCCAGGAGGGGCCAAGTGGTCCCCTAGGGTGCCCCTTTAACCCTTTCTGTGCCACACCCTGGTCTCAGGGCCTTGTTCTGTGCCCTGGAGCCTCCTCCAGCCCACCCATTCAGTAGCCCCACTGAGGGGGCCCCTGCTCCCGGCTGTCGCCCAGCCTGCTCCCTGCCACTGTGCCACCCTCCTCTCAGGTGCCTCCTGTCCTGAGGACTGCCAAAAGCTCTGAGACACAGGCTTCTGCCAGACACCCTGGGGGGACATTTCCTCTCCCATGCCCCCCAAAGCCAACGTCCAAGGTGGTCCTTCTGCAGCCCCTCTGTCACCTCCCCAGCTCACCTCCCAACAGGCCGTCCCCAGCACCCCCCGGCCTGCTCCTGCCAGGACTGGGCCTCAGCGTTCCTGGCTGTACGCATCCTGGGGTACCCAGGGTCCTGCCTTCTTCTTGGAGATCCTTGTGTGGCTGTGGTTTCCAGGACGGGCACCTCCTGCCCCCTCTCCCCTCTCTCTAGAGCGTCTTGTCTCCACAATTCCCAAAGACCCCCTAACACACACACACACACACACACAGACACACGCACAGGCGCGTGCCAGGCCCACCGAGAGCCCTCTCCCTGAGCCAATCCTCCGAGGCTTCACTCCCGTCCAGGGGCTCTCCTCTGCCTCACCTTCCTGGCACCTGGCACTGGCCGAGGCCTCCTACCGAGCTTCCCTGCACTGGCCGAGGCCTCCTACCGAGCTTCCCTCCCGTTTCTCTGGAGTCTCTGCTCTCTCCATTGTCACCCACTGTCCTGGTCACCCCCCACAACTCCCCTGCCTCCAGTCAACCTCCTCAGTCAGTCTTTGGTCTTGGGCCCTTCTCCAGGACTCTACTCCTGCTTTAGGGGGCACTGGAACCCCTGATCCTTCCCCCCATGGCCCCACCCACGGGCTTCTCCACCCCTGACATGGCTGCCCTCCTGGGTGCCTGCAGGGCACTGGGGCTTCGACACTCGGTGCCCTCCGCAGGCCTGCCCTGCTGCTGTCCTGGCCCCCAGCCTGGCCCTGCTCTCAGGGCGTTCTGGCCGCCCACGCCCCCATTCCTGCCAGCCCATCTGCAACCCCGGCCCAGCCCGGCCTTTTACTTTGGCTCAGGAATTGGCCAGAGGGCAAAGGTCTCCGCCTGCCCCAGGCCGCCGGTGCCCCCTTATCTCACCCTCCTTGGAGCCCAGATTATGAGCTTTGCT